AATAAAAAGCCTTAGAAAAAATGACTCAGGATCAAATTCTTCATTGTTGTTGATCATAACCCATACAAAAAAAGTTAAATTTTATCTTTTTTAGTGTTTTAATTTTTTCTAGACAAACGCTGCTTACATGCCAATAAAATTTGGCCGACTTCTGCTTAGAGCACTTTCATTAATTTGATAGAGTTGAGTAACCAAATTTAATATAAAAATTGGAGCAATAAATTAGCTAAAATTCATCTCAAAAACTGGTTTAGTCAGTTGTTTTTTAACATTACCTTAATTTATGCTGCTATTAGACTCTTCCTCCTCAAACACTATTTGCTGAACTTTTTTCAAATTGCTTCTCTGCTGTAGTCATCAATATATCTTGATTCAATTCCGAATGACAGCACTGCAGATAAACGCTTGGCATTTGTTTTTCTTAAATTGAATTGTCGTACTCAAGTAAAAAAACCCTGAGCTAAGAATGAAATTTAATGCTACGTCGTGTTTACAAAAACGACCTGTTTCGAATGTAATAATGTCTAATGTAAGCAACGTAATCTCAAAAAATTTTCTTATTGTCTACAACCGAATTTCTTTCTCACAAATTTTTTCAAGACTTACAATATTCATGTTTGAGTCTTTCATCATTTTTGAAACTTCATCTTCTTATCGTCTTGCTTTTCCTTCTCAAATTTTTAGTTGCCCTTATTTGCGTTTGTTAATGCTAATGCCTCAAATTCCTCAGAATCGTTAATGCAATAAGACTTCAAGTTATAATTCCGACCTGCTTACAGTTTATCATGCTTTGAATTCGACTATTTAGCTTTATGTAAATTTTTGAATTTCTAGCATTGCTAAGCAAAAGCGACAGTATACTTCAAAAAGCAGTAACTAGCACACGCTTTTAAGAGTTTTACTGAGGGTTAGCTGCTTCGGATCTGTAGAATTACTACTCTTTCTACAGTAAATTCTTTCAAAAAAGGTAGATGAAACGACTAACTGTTGTTTAATTTTTATAATCATTTGAGCATTTAGCTATAATTTTTAAAAAATGTCTCAATTTGCATTATCAAATAAAAAAATGAAAAATTGTAATTTTGAAAACGATGAGCAATATAGCGATAAACCTCTTAGACACATTTTTTTAGTAGCTTTTAGCCAGCGCTCAAGCTTCAAAGGTGCTGGAGAAGGTGACGTCAGTAAATATTATCAGTTCGCAAACTCTGAAAGAGCGGTAATTAAGAACATAGAATTGGGCAACAAAACCTCTAAAACATTAGGCAGAAGATGGAAACCTTTCAAAGCAATATTGTTGCTGAATTAACTGATCGGCTTATTTGGTTTGTTCTAGACCGCTTCTTGCATTTTTTTTTTTGCTCGTTCTAGTTTTAATTAAGGTTCATTGGTCTATCAATTTCACCTTTCACAAAAGTTCATCAATCAACTCATTTGCTTCTGTTGTGGATAATAGTCTGTAAATTTAAAGTATCATTGGTATATCATTCAAACAAAATAATTCGCTTTAATTAGTTTAATTCGTAACCTCTCTTACTGTTCACATTTCAATAGCAATAATATATTAAAAATTTTTGTAATAACAATTACTTCCTTCTCTCAGAAAAGCCTTGATTTTTGGGAGGAAGCGGAAAGCGTCATAATCTAAATTATTTTTTAATGAAGAAAATTTATCAAATTTTGTGTTCTTAAAAACTTGTTTTGACTACAGTTTTGTGCATATTCAATTTTTTTTCGGTGTATCACAAATGAACAACATCTTCACCTGTGGAAACATTCAAACAAGATAAGTTTATAGTGAACTGTATCATTACAGAATATATTGTAAAAACACATATTTTGTTTTTGCCACTTTCCTTTCAAACAATAAGATGTTGCAAACATAAAAATGGCTTTAATTTATTTTGAAAGTCGATAGCGCACATATAAGTCAAAGTGAAATATTAATTTAGGAATCTTTATATTTAGATAACTGTTCGCTGTTTAGATGCTGATTTTAAGTAAGCACTTATAGGCAGAACAACTTCAGTTTATAAACTGCTTTAAAAAATTTTTTAAAAGTAATTTTTGAAAATGAAGAAGTTGATTATTTTATGGTGTAAAAAGATTGACAAAGATTACAGTGTACTGGAAAGGCCGACTGAAACACTAAGATTTTGCAGCTCCGAAGCCAACTGCGGTTATTGTTTTCCAGCAAAATAAAGAAAATCTTTTTGTCATATAAAAGTTCTTAGTGTGGGACAGAATTTGAAAGGCACTTTAGGTTGAGAAACTTCAAATATGCAAAAAGGCATTGCAGCCAAATTTTACAAGTGGCAATTTCGCAAGAACATTATTCAGTTCTGTTTTTACAGACTCGATTTTTTTACTGTCTTTTTCGCGGCACTTCTTTCTTCGTGCTGCCTTTTCTACGTAAATATCACTTATTTAATTTTTTCTGTAATTAAAAAGGAACTTTTTATCACTTTTTTTAAGTACTGATGCAAGTAAATTTTTTAGGTTTTGAAGATTATTCTTAAACTGAAAACTAGGCTTTGAATTTTGTGCTGTGACCACTTTGCTATTGGTTCGGTGTGATTTCTTCTTTTCAGCTGCAAAACCAAAATATCGTTTGCATTGTCGCAACACAGAAACTAAAAGTTTAAGCAGCTTTAATTACTTCTTTAAATTTCTTTAGTATTTAATTAAACTTTTTTAGTTGAAGTAAACTAGTTAAATTAGTCTAAAATTGAAGCAATTAGTTTTTCTTGCTCTATTATTATACTGTAGTTAATTTCAACAAGTGATATATATATATATATATATATATATATATTTATCTGGATGTTTTTAGCTTTTCAGTACTTAATTTTCTATAATGTTAACAAGGTTACAATGTATTAAATAGCAATATTTCGATACATCTGATGGGCAAGTTGTTGCATAAGAGCATAATAATAATAAGCATAGAGATTAGCAGTAGCCGCTGGTGGTCTCAGATAAATTAGTGGTTTTTGGGCAAATAAGTTTGGTGCTACTGCGGTTATGACTGGTCGATGTAAATGCATTTTTGTTGTTATTGCTAAATTGTGAGAAAGAAAAGAGCTTTTACCTGAAATTAAAAAAAAATTTTAATACTTTTATTGCCTCTGTTTTTGATTATAAAACAACATTCATGTTATCCAAGAGTGAAAACTGACTTTGTGGATCGTATTTGCATATATAACCGAAGTGCGAATTACAGTCAGCGTCAAACCAGGTACCAGAGGTCCAGAGCGCGTTAATGCCTACGCATCTAACGTTCGGGCCAGAACCTCCTCTTGGCTGACCCCTTGCCCAGTTGAAAAAGTTTGGTACAGTGTAGTCAGACCAAAACCACCCAGTTTTCCTTCGAAATAAACCCGTCCAAACGTTTTTAACTTTAGAAATGCCTTGAAAGCAAGTAAAACTTTGTGTTGCGCTTGTAAGTCATTTGCAACATTGCAGCGAAGATAGGGTTTTTTTTTCAAAACAATAAAAAAATATGCGTTAAATTGTTGTATATCATCAAATAAATACCAGAAGCATTGTTTTGACTACACCATTCAATAATGAAACAACAAAATGGCTCTAATCAACGTTTTTTATTCTTTTTCTTTTCCAAATGAATTTACTCTTTTTTTTTTTTTTTTTTTTTTTTTTTTTTTT